CAAAGAGAAACTTGTGAAAATCGACTGTCCAGTTTTTTGACACAATAGCCGAGGGTTGGGCGTGGCATTATAAATTTAACTTCAAATGGCAAGAAGTATTTTTACAAGACCTTATTTATAAGTTTGTGTACACTCTTAGCGTAATTTTGGCCATTTTAAGGGTTTCTTAATTATTTACAGCTTTATTAGATAACCACATTCATCAACACTTCTGGACGATATTTAAATAACAAAATGTATAAGTATTTAATTTACTTTCAGATCAAGAATTTCTGACATCTTATTTCACCTTGCGAAAGAAAATTTACACCGTCCATGAATGACTGAAGAAATTTTATGAGATGATTTCATTTTAGAGACACATTCAAAGGTTTGACATTCCCTGTACACCTAACTCTGTTTTTACACAGGACATTGGTTCCAGAAAAAAACATGTAAAAGAAAAGACGTTGATCGTATGCATAAATAGGTGATTGGTTCCCTATCTTTAAAACATATTAAAATTAGTGAATAACAAGGATTATGTAAAACAGCTATGTTGTTAACAAATATAATAGGTTATTCAAAATTAAGAAATAAAAAAAGATGTAAAGTTTGATTTCTATCTTTTAATTTGTATGGTAGCTATATGTTATAGTGATCCGAACTGAACAATTTCTTCGGATATTGCACCATTGCTTTAAACAATAATTCATGCCAAATGTCTTGACGGTATCTTGTCAAACGAAAAGTTCTCCATACAAGCATTTGATTCCGATCGATCAGTTTGTATAGCAGCTATATGCTATAGTGGTCCGCTATCTTCTATTCTGACAAATGAGCAGCTTCACCTCGTCAAGCTTATCATTTATATATACAAGTTTCCTTTATAGGCAACTTAATATACCTTGTTCAGGGTATAAAAATTAAAATGATAATCATACATACAGGAACATATGTATGAAAATTTAATTGCTGCCATCATCAGTTACTCGCTTGCTTGTAAACTTTTTGGGGATACAAAAAGAGAATTCCTCTAAATTTTTGATATGAACACTTTTCGTTAAAATTATTAAATCTGACAAAATTAAAAACAAAATAAAGCCCAAAAAATTTTATTTTCAAACCGTGTAAAAACAGAATTAGGTGTACTACCATTCTCTTTGAGTTTGGCCTCAGCCGCGTCCTAAATAAAAAAATAGGACATATTTTTTAACTAATCAAATCGAAACAATAGTACTAGAATCATTATAAAAATACATTCGTACCATCCATTCTTATTTGAAGTGATGGATTACGAGCAAACTTCCGGCTGATTGTCAGAGACAGTCGTGGTAGAAAACTCAAAACTCTTATTAGGTTATTTTGGCTTATTTTTTGGGGTTGGAAATTACTTGTAAAAATTATCATCCCTAAACAACAAGCAAAAAACGAGGCTAGTTTCATAAAAAAGTTAAATAATTTCATTATAAGAATACAAAGGGTGTGAAATGTTTAGAAGATGTGGAAAAAAATCATTAAAAATACAAAATCAAACAAAATCAGTATATTCCGATATATGTAGAGACTTTTTTTGTGAATTGAGGCCCTTTGATACCAAATTAGCTAGTGATATTTGCAAAGATCTCATTAAGAAATCGAGTATATCGACCTACATATACGAGATGATATGAAGGGCGTATCTACGAAAATATGCAACAATTTCATCTTTCTTTGTTACCATCATATGTTATGAAAGAAGTATACATATGTCAGCGGTACGTAATATAATGTATGAATGATTTTCTTCTTTAAACAACGAACAACAAAAATCATAATAAATGCGCTTTCACAAATAATGGATCTCAACCTTAACTTAAGCGAGTTATTGAAAGAAGTTTTGAAAAGCTTGTAGTAAATAAAAATATTAAAACCCGAAATAATTATAATAAGAAACATGAAAAAATGTTAACTTCGGCTACAATACCTTTCACAAGTGCATTTTTTATCTTGATTTTGATCGGTTAATTTGTATGGCAGATACATACTTGAACATCACATATTGGTCCGATCTTTATATAGATTACTACTTATAGCTTCTGTACATAAATTGTAAGTGAAATAGGTGTGGCATATTAGTTTGTTTGCTGGCATATTGCAGAAAGATATTAAGAATATTTTTGAGTAACTAAAACAAATTTTCAGCGCCACAACCAAATTAAATCTTAAGGGGTTACATCCACTTGTGATTTCGAATAAATTTTTGTTTTTGCATATATAGCGAATTTACTCTTATTTAAGAATATTCCCCGAATTTGATCCGGCAAATAGTATCGGAGATAGTGTAATCGACTCCCAAAACTTTAAACGCGTCAATGTGGAAAATTTTTCCAAAACAGTTAGGCACATCGACGCGGCCTTTTTAGACATATTTGTCAGGTAACAATTGAAGGAATCATATTTTTGATAATAATATCAATCTTGTAAGCCCCTCTGGAGTTTAAGTTTTTTCACAAAAAAAAAAAAATTTATTTGGGATGCCGTCATTTTGCAAAATGATCAAAAACTAAAATGTTGACTAGTCCTTCGATATTTACCTTTATTCATCTATTGTAATAAATTTATCGGTTTTTGGATTTCAGATAATCTTCACCGCCAGACACCTTTTTTCGGCGGTCTTCTTGGCATTTTTTAAAATGAATCGCCGATTATTAAAAAAACATTTAGTACATTTTTTAATTATTTATTAAATAAACCTTTTAAGAAAAACAAAAAAAAAAATGGCGTTTTGTTTGAATTGCAAGCATTTTTATAAGGCTGAGACAAGTTTTAATGAGACAGAATATTTTTCCCATAACAAAAACAACTCCATATTTAAGATATTCCATTTATCAGTTGATAATTAGTTGATACAGAAAGAAATGAATCATAAAGGAACAACATATTATAAATCACTTCTCCAACTTTATCAGTCTTCTTTAACAGAACAAAGCATTTACATTTCTTCAAATGAAAAATTAAGCAACGCACTAAATAAACTATTTGACAACATTTTGCCAAATAATATAAATCCTATTCTAAATTTTACTTTTAGTTAAGTAGGTTTTCCAAGCTTCCAAGAGGAATTAAAGATAATGATATGAAAAACAACATAAATGATAAAATAGATACTAAAAGAAATATTTTATATAATAAAAAACCAATTTTTTCGGCAAAGTTGCAAGTTTATGAATTTGAATATTTCTAAATATCTAAAACATTTTTTTTGTTTTCAATTTTATATTGTACATATAACAAATTTCAAAACTTTTTGAAGTTGTTTAAAAACCATTACTCGATGAAATGCGGTATTTTACTTGAAAATTTTTACATTCCTCTCTCAATAAGACAATGAACATGAAATTTAAAGAGAAGAATAAATTGTTTCTTAAACAAATATCAAAAGAAACTCAAAAGTAGGCGTATCTAGCTAAACATTTTCTATAACAGTTAAGCATCAGCTTTATTTGTGAAATATATAAAATATTTTTGGTTCATGGTAAGAACTTTGTTAAGTAAAAAAATCTAGGTGTTATAAGAAAAACTTGCACTACTAAAAATTCAAACTAGCACCGAATCAACTTATAGATGCTCGTTTAAAGAATTTTCAGCTGATACTGCCTTTCGAGACCTGCACTTGAGTTCGAACAGACAGATCCAGATTTATATTCTGCTATGGAACGTTACCTCGGCAGTGTACCCAAAAATCAACAACAACAAGGTGTTTTACACGCACGCAAGGTTAAAGCAGTTGACAATTTTTGAAACACAAGAACATACGAGTATGAAGATTTGATGGAAAACAGTTTCTTTTTGTAATCTTATTTAGTCTAATTAGATCATTGTTTGCACCACAACTTGTATAATGTATCTTCATTCAAAAACTTATCTAAGAATTGTACGAAATTGTCTATAGCACACATTGTTTGCTTCCAATTTTTTTATTTTCGAACTTCTTAAATTGTAAATTTTTATTTTTGACCAAGACAATATATTGAAAATATATAAGTCCACGCATAAAGTCCAAAATAAAATGTAACTCAAAATTATTTGATATTTTTCAAAAATGGTCACGTTATTGCTGTCAAAACTAAAACGGTTATTAACATTAAAAGTCTGTGGTACTTCATAAACGTCTATGCAATTTTCGAAATACTTTTTTTTGGCCAAAAAGTAATTGTAAAGCATGCATTTTTTCACTAAACTCATTTGAGATGCCGGAATTCCAACACTAGTTACAACACTTATGTTACACCAATAGGCACGTGTTGGCTTAAAGAGTCTGGTCCTGCAACATAATGATGGGTATGATGAATGAAATAGTCGAACATTATGCTATAGTAAGTCGATGTGACACTTAGCAGCGGCATTATAACAATCACAACAACTGCAATAACAATAGTAAAGCGTTTTCTTATTAAAGCGGCCTAAACTCGAGCATTTTTAGTCCAAATATTTATAATGTAACTAAAGCATTAAAGACGCGAAAAATATGAGGACGCCGCATATGTGCGTCCTGAGCCGTAAATCGTGAGTCGAGGCATATGTGTGCGCGTTTATGCATGTGTGTGTGTGTTTATGGGCGTTTATGGATGTATGTATGTGTGTGTCCGCATGTGTGCTCATGCATGTGTGCGAAAAATTACGATACTCGCGCGTATAGAGCACGATACGACGGAGCCGGAGCCATAATGTAAGCTTAAATAGAAAAGCATGAAAAAGAAGACGAGAAAAAAGAGAAATAATAATAAAAATCGTCTGACGAACTTGAAATTGAGAGTAGTAGTAAAAATAAAACCGGAATAAAAGTAGGGAAAATACCGAACAAATAGAAATGGTGAGCAAAACAGCACACAAGACATATAAAAATATATATCAGCGAATATAGAGAGTAAATGTCAGTAGTAGTCAGTTCTTAAGAAAGCGGAAAACAACCAAATAATATATAAAATGGAAAAGTCAGCGAAAGGGAAATTCTGTTTTATTTTTATTTTTTTTCCTACTTCTTGTACTTCTTCTTGTGCCCTTAGTTGCAATAACCAGCTTAGACGTGATGATATACGCGTACTTAACGCGACGCACTAGATCCTGATTTTCGTAATACACACAATCGGTCAGCGGTTTGTTTTGATAATTTTGTTTTTATATGGAAAATATGAAAATCAATTATGGTTGTGATTTGGTATTAACACCGTGCGAACGTACCAAAGCTCACTGGTGCTTGATCAACACTACAATAACGCACTTTATCGTGACGGTCCGTCCAACGCGTATGACGTTACGTATGCAAGTATTTAATAGTAGGCGGTTTAAATACACATTGTCTTAACGGTGATCCACAGATTAGCAGCAAAAGTTTGAGACTTTCATTAATTGCGTTCGGAAGTCATACGATAACGTGAATCCATCATTTTGGTGCAACTATTTAGCGTGTGTTGGATAATGTTTACATGATATCAAACAAAATTTGTGGTACTGTTAGCGTTAATATACTATATATAACCCGATATGGACCGATTTACGAAACTCTGTCATTGCCGACAATCGCACGATTTCAGTCATTACGACCGACACATCAACCAGCCTACCAGCGACCTGGCAAGCGTGCAACCAACGATAAACGACAACTGCGACGACGCCGATGATGAACAAATTACAAATAAAAGATGATGCCAGAAGACGATGACGATTAGCGCCCAGGCAGCCAGTAAGCCATCGAGCCAGCCAGCCAGCTAAGGAACGGCATGAAATAACGTTGCTGTTGATGATGGTGGCAGCGGCGGCGGTGAAGTCTGAAGTAGTGGTGAGAGCGAAAAAATTGGAAAAAAATCCATACACACACATATATATATACATATACACAAGCTTATACACTCAGGAACTTATACACACATACATAGACAAGAAAGTAAAAGAAAAAATCGAAGTACATATAAACAGAACAAAACGGAAAAAATTGTGTACAGTGGGGAAAAATAAAGAATTATATCTGCAAAAGGTTTGCAGCCAAGAATCACTTCTTAGGCGAAGTGCGCGGCGTATAAAAAACAGCAATCGTTATGTACTAACTGACATACAAACAAATGCACATAAATAAGCGTAGATTGGTGTGTCTGTTTGTTAGGTTGTTCGTATGCAAACCAGCAAATGAATATGGGAAAGGGCAGCACCGAACAGGTTCTGGTGGGCTAATTTCTTTCTATACCAACAAGTCCATGTATTGACGTATAACCGCATTTGTTGAGCGGCAACTCAATTATTCTACGGACTATAACGGTTATAATATTGTGAGGACCTATATGCAGGAGAATACAAGCAATATTGTGAATTTTCAATATTTACCATATACAAATAACTGATACTCGAAAGTATATAACATAACCTAAAACTAAACTGGAAGCTTTGGTTGGTAAAAGATTTAGAAATAAGCTTTAATTCGGTATTAAGTTCACACAAGCGATAAAGTATTATTTTAAAGTTTCTACAATCGATACTCAACACTTTTCAACATAACCCGGAAATTGCAAAATAAAACAAAAACGAAAAATTTTAACGCAAAGTTTATAATGTGATTTCGACTTCGGTAGGTAGACCTCAAAAAGCCACTTAAATATTTCTAAATTTCTGAAAGCAATACTCAAAAAATTTCGACAAAACCTAAAAATTTCTGAATATTATACTGCTGACTGCAAAAGACGCAAATAATAAGCTTTATTTTTAAGTTCGATACAGATTTTCTTTCCGAAGTTTTATTATAACCTCGAACCTAAAGACTGAATTCTTATTATTTTCACCATTTATGTTCAATATTTTTGAACATATCCAAGATATTTGAAAAAAAAATCTGAAAAGATTTACATTAGTAAGTAGTTAATGAAATATATGCGGTGTAAGAAACCCTTATTAGAAGATCGGTATAAAGCGACCAAAAGCGATGTTAATATTTCTTTGATATTTCCACAGCGAATACCAAAAATTTTCATACATAACCTAAAACTTGGCAAAAATTTTCGAATTTTACTTGATCGAAAAATAGGTAATAGAACAAATTGTAATCTCTAGCTTAGTTGAAAAACTGGTGGACCTGCTTTTGAAAAACGTTTTTGGAGGTTTCATAGCAGCAATCCGAATAAAATATGTTCAGATCTGAACAAAACATAAACCAAAATGTCGGATACAATTGACCTGTGATTGAATCGAACAAAAAAAGGTTCCCCAAAAAGCTTTGCCTAAAAAGTTCGAAAACCATTTCTAGCTTTTCCGTTATCAACCGAGGTGTCATTATTGTTAGCGGAAAAAACTCAAGTACAACCGGATCAAGGTATTATATTGGCAAATATAATCTCTGCAATTATAAATGGACATATAGTCAGCGTTAAATCTCCAGAAATTTTGTTCTCACTAAATTTTCGAGAATCTGCTGTCTTGGAAGATGGACCGAATTTCTTAATACACAATTGGAAAAAAAAGCTTTCGGACAACTTGAAGTTGTGTATACGAAATACACGTACACTCGGACTTCGCAAGACGACAGAGGTGAAGGCGCATAAAAAAAAACACAAAGAACGAAACGAAACTTCATCTTTAAAAACAAAAAAGGCAGCAGCAGCTAAATGAGAAAACTGACAGAAAAAAATAGTATACTGGCGATTCATTTAAACACCCAATAGGCCATGAGACTGCAACTAGTCAGCAAGCAACCCGTATATCCTCAAACCATACAATGCACAGCAGCGCCCAGTGGAAAAAAGTCGGGAAAAAAACGGCTCATATACTCGCTCATTTAATACATAAAAAAGTTTTGTAAAAAAATGAGTATAAAGAAAAAGGCAAGTTTACGAAACATGGGCGAAATCTACGACAGCGGTGAGAGTCAAAGAGACGAAAGAGAAGACAGAAAAAAATTGAAACAAAAACACAAATGACACAAGTTGTCGCTTTGCCGACCGGGCTCTAGCGCTGGCACTGGCTCTGGCGCTGGTCGCTCGCTCGCTTCCATCTTGCTTTCATTTACACAGGTCTGCCAATGTGTCTGACCATCTACGTATCGGAAGTGGAAGGATGATAGCACAGTGGAGCGAATCAATGGTTGCTAACTATAAAAAAAAAGAAAAAAAACAACAACAAAGCGTTTACATATGTACATTCATATATATATATATGAATATATATATATAAGTATGTGTATGTGTGCACCTGTATATAAAACATATGTAAGTAATTAACACACGCAGTTTCATATTAAGACAAACTAATAGCGGTAATGACACAAATACATATGACTGCTTGCTTTGTATATAATATAATGAGTAATTAATCAAAGCGAACGCTTCATTTGCATCGAACGGAATTTTTGGAGATTTTCGCCACAATTCATTATGACTTCACTGAATTACATAAGTTTCCAATTCATAATATGTACAATTAAATTTCACTGACTCAAGGTCTTCATTCAAGCAGCGCCCAAGTGAAATATGGGACCAGCAGTGCTATATAAATATATATATGTGTATGTATGTGGGTGTAAAAGCTTATAAATGTGTGAGTGCGTGTATGTGCATGCATTTACAGTTAATCGGTGAGGGTGGAAAACTAACTGAAATCGTGAACCTGGACATAATACTCATACACGGGACTACAACAACAATGCACCAACACACCTACACGCGCACACATACCCATGCATAGTACATTTGCCAGCGTATAGTTAGTTTTATATGATACTTGCAAAACATTAAACGCGTTCACCAATTGTTTTTTACAGCATTTTTTTACACTGTCTTGTAGTTGCTGCAGCTGTTATTGTTTTTGTTGTTGCTATTTTTTCTTTCTCGCATTTAATTTACTTTTTTTGTTCAATAGAGTTTTTCTTTCTCCAAGCGCGCGTTCGTCCACCGCCCGCCCGTCCACACTGTTCTATACATTATTTCTTGGACACACGACACAAACGGAACTATATTTTCATTTCACTCAGACATAAGACCGCAACACCCCTTACCTCCCCCAATCATTGCTATTCTGAGTTAAGATTAAAAAACAACGGGCAACGGAAAAAAAGCGAAAAAAAAAGAAAACCAAACAACAACGACTTTTTTAAAAAATTCTGCACAGAAAATAAAAATTGAGAAGGCAAAGGCAACAACAGTAACAACAACATCGGCAGGCAATGTGAGCATGCAAACGTAGAGAAAAATTGTAATAAGGGCAAAGAAATGTATGAGCGAGCAAGCGGACTGGCGGGCAGACGGGCGGTCGGTCGGGCGTTTGAGCGGTCAGGTGGTGGGAGTTGTGGCAGCCACCCTCAGTGGTTGCATAAAATGAAAGCAAAGTCATAAGAAACCGAAATGAACAAGCGAGCAAGAAGAATGGTGGTTAATGGGGAAACCGACGAAGGAAGCCATACAAGAGAAAAAATTGAAAAAATGCCAACTACAGTATAACAACAATAATCATGACAATAGCAGTGATATGCACACATACATAAGACACACACGTACATGCATATGCACAAAAGTAGTTGCCAAAGAACTCGGCTTACATACATTCTTATACATGCACATACATACATACATATCTACGAATATATCAATGAGCCTTTGTGTATATGTGCAAGGTATTTGCATACATATTCATTCATTTACACATACAGACACACACACGCACACGTGCAAGCGCACATTGAAATCTCAACGAAAAAATGCTTTTGACGCACTAACACAAACGAAAGTATCAAAGTTGCTAGGGGTTTCCGCCAAGAATGAGACAAGTTTGAGGTACAGTGGGACGAATGTTGGAATTTGTTGACGAAACTTAATTAAAATGCCATAAAAGTATCGATTTATCGAGTGAAAATGAGATGATTAGTATGTGTGATTTTAATTTAATGTAAAAATATTATTAATTTAACGAAAATCATCAACTCTAAAATTCGAGCAGTTTATAATGTAGCTTTTATTAAGTGGTTACATGAGTTTAATGGCTTTTATATATTACTTAATCTTATAACATCTCTAGAATATTGTCCTAAATACTCAAGTTGATTCGAGTAAAAGTTTTGGAGATAATGCCTTGAAAAGTTGCGTGCTCGAGGTCAGCTATATAGTCATTTAAAACTTTGAACACGTTTTTCTCGAAACTGTGTCGTTTCCATAATTTCTCGCGAACTACTCAACCGATCTTAATGAAATTTGGCACATGTCTTTGAGATATAATTTATTTGAACGAAGGATTTTTTTTACAATTACAACTATTTAAAAAAATATTTTTTTTGCAAAAACGTATACCAAAAACACAATTCTCAGTTTTTTTGTTTTTCATTCGTCAAATACCTAGTTTATGGTCTTAATTAAAACACGTATCTTTTTTTTTGATAATCCTGCAAGAAGTTCTGCTGTCAATACGGAGGCACCTTTTTTTCGAGAGACTGTCGCAAATGACGTCGTAATGGTCGAGTTTTGAATATTTTCTTTCGAAAATTTCATAAAATTTTTGGAATAATAAAAAGTTTGAGAAAAATATTTAATTTTTTATATGAATATTGAAAATAGACGTTTTTTGCTTGATGAAACCCATGTAACTCCTTAATAAAAGATATTTTTGTAACAGTTTTTTTTATAAAAAATATGAAAATAAAAAAATTACTATATTAGTATATATATTTTTTATAAACCACGAGCTTTTATGAAAAATTTTGGGAAACAAATTTTTATTGAAATAAAAAATGAGTTTTCGTTATAAAAACAATGTTTTATGAAGAACTTGTGTTCCAAAACTATAATTTAAAAACTTTGAAAACCTATCTTTGTTAGTATTTTTTGAATATTCCGTATATACACAAACTATTATAAATATATGCATTTAAAAACAATTTCATTATTAATAAAAAAGTAATATACATATATTTCCGGTTTTGAAAATAACACAAAAAATCCATCAGAACCGGGAATGACTAGTTCTATTAAAAAATAAGCATTAAAAAATCATTTACAATTGTTTTATAATTTTATCGATAAATGCAAAATGTCATCTCTAAGTAACTTTTATGGTTTCTGAAGGCACAACTGAAAAAAGTGATTTTTATACGCCTGGTTAGTTCAAATTCCATTTAATACCATTAAGGCTGTTCTTTTGATGTCGAAAAATTATATACCCAAGGCCATAGGCAACTAACTGATCGAAAAATCTTTATTAATATTAAATCAATTTTTATTTTTTTCCTTTAAACATTTTAAATCGGATTGTAACATAGACTAAAGCACTTTTGAACAGTTATTGTCTTGTCAATCTCATAAAATTAAATAAATAATAATAAAAAGTTAATGAAATGATTAAAATTTATATGCTTATGAGTATATAATCTTGAAGCTCTCATTTTAAATCGTAATAAGTTCTGGTTGTTGTTGTAGCGGCATAAAACATGCCTCAAATAGGTTTTAGGAATACTACCGAGTTACGGTACTTAACCGAATAAAGATTTGGATCTATTTCGATTACTTATCTGGTTTTTTATACTGGTTGCGAATTAACTTTCGTCCTCGATGTTATCAATAAAATTAGTTATTGGTTAATATGATCGTAAGAACTTAATTTGCAAGAGAGAACACTTCATCTTAATTAATTGAAAAATATTAAACTATAAGGTTCTAATCCATTCCATGGATTATTTATGTAATATTTTAAAAAATAATACATTCTTTTTTACTAAAAAAAAAATTAATTAAAAATATTTTATGAAAAAAAGTACAAAAACCAAAACCAAAAAAATCTGCGCTTTCTCACTTTGAGATATTAATTTATGTCAGCGCAAGGATACATTTTCCCCCGCATAGTGGTGCTACAGTCCACAGTTAGCAGTTAGCAATTCTCCTCGAATCAGCTCTTCCTGCTTGTCTCGCTCATAAATATACAAACACACAAACATATCTACAAATACATATTGTTGCAATAACAAACGTCATTGCGGTCGGTCAACTGGGGTATCCCGTACGTTTGGTTGAAGAAAAGAAAGGTTGTACAAAGAAAAAATTGCAGTACAGAAAAAATAAAAATAAAAATGGAAATACCAAAAACAAAACACTCGTAGAGAGAATAAAAATTAGCAGAAAAAAATGTATAAATACATACAAAAACACTAATACTCAGCCAAAGTGAAAAGCACACGACAGGACTTGAGCAGAAGCTTTAAAAAAAACACACACACTGTATATATGTATGTAGCTATCTGCACATGAGTGTACTACAACAAAAATTCTGCTGGCACATATACTCAAATGTCGTATGCTTCTCAATGTGTGTATATGTGTGTAAATGGCGGTGTTCGGCTACTTCTGCTGAGGAAGAGAAAGAAGATGATGATTCGACTAGAGACGCGAGAGTCACCCTTAAGAAGGGTCAAAGTGGGGGGCTGGCAAGCAAGCATGCAGGCAGGCAGGCAACAACATTGGGGCAGGCAATCGAAAGGAGAAAAAATTTTGCAATATAAAAATGGAACAGCGAATAAATGAAACAAACCAACGAACTGACTGGAACGAAAAGGTAGAAGGAGATAGAAAGTGCGAGCGTCGGCAAAGACGACTAGCGTCTGACTATTGGAGCATGGTTAAAATTCCGCGACACCATTGCCACACCATAATATCAGCGCCCAACAACTTGGATCGGCATTCGATTGTTTGTGCGAGTATAGTATGCCGGTCTAACCGTCTGCCATCGAAGGTTCGTCTGTTTGCAGTCATACAGTGAAGTGAAATATAAGCAAGTTAAATAAAAACGCAGATGCAGAAACGAACGAACTCTTCAAAAAGTCTGTATCCCAATACATATATATATATATACACACAGGCGTACATACGTACTACATAAGGCTTATACATATGTACGTAAGTGTGTATAAAAACTGTGGCGATGCTGGAAGTAAGACTTACTACCACCACACCTTATCAAATGGTCAAAGGAGTAAATACTAAATATTCAAATTTATGCACATACACATGTACGGACATACATACGCACGAAAAAATGTAAATACCTATAGGCTTGTGTATACCCGTATACACGAAATTGCAAGGGCTTTTCTTGACCATTGCAAGAATCAGAAAAATAATAATCCTTTCCTTGAAGGCGACAAGAACTTTAATTGGTCTTTTTTTTTGTAGCTTTTTGCAATACATTTATAATATTGAGCGTGTAAATAAATTCTGTTTTACAAAATAAATGATGTCACTATCGAGAAAATCTCGATATCAACTAAATTGTCATGCAAGAAGCAGCACTTTGAGGTCTTCATTAAGCATAAAAAAAGAAAAAAAAACAATAATTTAAATGTATGTATGTATATAATAGTTGTATGCTTATGTGTATGTGCATATTATATCTAAAAATAAAGTACCGTTTGAAAATATTTATTAATTAAACTATTTGTTGCAGCGAATGGAAGTATTGATTAATTGGAAACACGAACATCAATGAATTTCAAATAATTTTAATCGTTGCTAAGGGACTTCGAAGCATATAGTTTAAATAACAACAAAAAATTAATGTCAATAATATTTTTGAAGTTCTAAGAAGCACGTCAGAACAGAAAAAGCTTCTCAAGGTAGAGCAACGTCATTACAAAAGATATCGCTAGGCTAGATAATAGAATTTCCTTCGACTAGCCAATTCTACAGCCTACACAAAAAATAAACATAAACACAAGTATAAAAAATATAATAAAACATCCATACATACGAAATAACTAATATTGAAACATGGAAATTAGTTTCGAATGTCCTCAAACCGTTGATCAGCAGTACAATAAATGGGAAATATCGAAGAGCACCATAAACTATAATGGGATTAAAACGAGTTAAATATTATAAATTCAAAAGATGTTTGACAAGGTGATGGCTTTCAACAAAAAATATGTTTATGACAAAAACATTATTTCACAACATAAATATTTTAATTCAATCTAAATTTAATTCATAGTTATTATACCCTGTACAGCATGTATTAAAATTGTCACGAAATTTGTAATACGCAGAAAGAAACCACGGAGACCCTATAAATTGGGTCGATTTAGCCGTGTCCGTCTGTCTGTCCTTTTGTATATATGCGAACTAGTCCCTCAGTTTCTGAGATATTGATCTGAAATCAAGTGCACGTTCTTTTCTTTCCAAGAAGTTGTTGATAATTCACTATAGGATATAGCTGTCATACAAACTGATCGTTTAAACTTGTAAAGCAACCCTTATAAAGAAACCGTTTTTATTTGCCAAGATATATTCACGAAATTTGGCATGGATTTATGTTCTAGACAATGGTACAACCTCCGAACAAATTGGACTATTACTGCATTCGAGGTTAATAGAAAAATTTATCTATTTATAAAATTATCGCGGACTACGTGTATTCGATTTTCGATTGTTTTGTTGCGTTATGTTGGTACTCATATACCTTACTCATGCTGGCAAGGTCGACCATTTTGAATGTTTTCGAATGTTGACTGTGGCATATGGTGAAGCTACCTTAGACAAAAGCAATGTTTAACCGTGGTACAAAATGTTCTCAGAGCGTCGAGAAGATATGAACGAGTAGAGCGTGCCGCACGCCCGTGCACGTCAACAACAGACAAAAATATTAATGATCTGAAGAAAATAGTTTTGGCAATAGTCGAATCACTACTAGAATATAAAAAAAATATTATCTGCAAGTTCTGCGCGAAGAATTCGCCAGAAACGTTAGGATTAGTAGAAGAACAAAAATTGGCTTTTGCTCCATGATAACCCCCGTTGCTTGTACGCGAATATTTGGCCAAAAACAACACTTTAATAGTGCCGCAGCCACCGTATTTCCCAGATCTGGGCCCCTGTGACTTTGTTTTGTTCCCAACACTGAAGATGCCCATGAAAGGACGACGCTACGACTACGATTGAGTAGATAAAAACTGCATCGAAGGAGGAGCTGAACAATATCACAAAAAATTACTTTGAGTGCTTTGAGGATTGGAAAAACTGCTGCCATAAGTGCATTATATCTAGGAGTGATTACTTTCAAGGGGACAAAATAGATATTCATGAATAAATAAACACTTTCTTAAGGAATACCAAATTCGCGATACTTTTGGAACAAACCTTATATAGCGTCATATTAACTTATCGATCAAAATCAAGTCTTGGTATGGAAAACTTTTTATTTGTGTAAATATTCTAGCTTCGGTGCAACCGAAGATAACGTTTTTTCCTCTTTTCAATTACTTGAATTTTCTATCTCTATTGTCTATATTTATTATTCCTCAAGATCCGCAACAAGAAAATATGAACTTATTTGAGAAAATGGAAATTTGCTGGCTCTAATATTTTATATATTATAATATTTGGCATTATTGGCCACCGATAAGGAAAGATGCGAAATGTCATCCAAATTGCAGTTGTTGTGGTTGTTGTAGCGACAGAATTCTACCGAGTTGACAGTCCAGATAAAAATTCAGGTCCGTTCCGCTTACGTAGACCCGACTGTCATGAGAAATTGCTAATGCACATGGGTTTCTGACATAAAAACTCTTTTTTGGAACACCAAACTGTTAAAAATCTAGTAAGAATTATTATACAAGATCATACGACAGTCAGCGAAAATCAGCGCTGTATTTAATTCAAATTCAAAAAAGCATAGCTTTATAAAATTACCCGCGTAGTAATATTTACTCGTTTGTCTGCTTTTTATTTACTTACTACTTTGAAAAATATTTTAGAACATTTTTATTTAATAAATACATTTTCTGTTATAATAAATTTGGAATTTCCAAATTATATTTATTTAAAAACATAAAAATAATAATTTTTATATATTTATATTCAAAAATATTTAGAATTATCAAAATCACATCAAAATTATATTTGGTGTAAGAGAATATTATTTATAAATACATACGTGTCTATTAAAAATTATAACGCCAATACTAATTGTTGTACATATGGTAACTTACTAATTGTATGCTATACATATGTACATATGTATATATCTATATATATATCCGACTTGAATAGAAAATTAAAAATGTGCCAAAAATTTGTAGTAAGTTAATTATTGAATATCGTGCCTCATTTGAGTATTCCAATACTAAAGCGAACGTCTAATTAAGAACTCGAAATCAAAACCTTCTTAAAATCATTTTAAAAAATATATAAAAGTATTCAGATTAATTACAAATTGTTATCATGACCTATTTAAAGTGCTTGAAATATGGTTTACTACAAAAACATATCGCATTTTGAGTTAATAGACAGCTAATTCAGCGAATCCTCAGCTATCGTTAGTATTTTAGTATTTTAGACCGCAAAGTTGTTCTGCCAAAAAGTATATTCCTTAGATAGAGGTGACCGGAAATTACTATGATCTTATTTGTCCAAAGATTATCACCCCGACAATTTTCATCAAAATTTGGGGAATGGTTTCTGCAGCTACAACAATTCTTTTGAATTTAGATTTTAATTGAACTCAATTTCTCTTATAATATATGTATATAGTGGATTATCTCGTTTCAGAAACTCTAGCATCATTAAGAACATGATTTTAAATGTCTAAATGTGATCTCCCGCTCCGGTATCGCCGGAAAAACCTAACCTAAACTATAAATTTTTTATGGAAAACAAGTTTTCATATGTATTTTTATTAAGCGATACTAGCTTCAATTATGGACCAATTTTGATACTTTCTTCTCCCTCTAATATCAACTTTTTTGGGGAAATTCACTTGTCTGAAGTGATTACGGACAACATCTATATTTAGGTGTACTTGTATACTAGGTATTGAAGACATTTACCTATAAGATATACATTTTTATGTGCAAGTTGACAATGATATCCTATCTGCTTAAGCGATATAAAATGTGATGGTAATTAAATTTGTGATTATTATAAAAATTTAAATTATTAGGGAAATTTATACAAAATTTTAATAATATAAAAATTCTGTATAGGCGCTTTAGTGCTTAATTTGCTCACGTTATAGTTGTTTTTGTTGTATGTAGAGCCAATAGCTACCGCTATTTTATGTATGCTGCTCGTTTTGAAATTAGCCTTACTGTCGAACTTTATCAGCAGCAGCAAATTATCAGCGGTAAAGATAAATTTCTTCTCACCAGTATTAATTAATTGCTATATGGTTTTACATAAGAAGAAAAATAGCATATACATATGTATGTAGATGGTTCGCCTTGTCAAATATGTTGCCAATAAATCTTAATTATACATTTAATTTGTTTCTAGCAACAATTCGGTCAACATATTTTATTGTCTAGATGTAAAATCTGCTCTTGAAAATGAGATCTCCATAGCATCAGAATTGATTTAATAAATTCTTTGCCGCCTGAACTTAACATGAATGAAGACAAGATTCACGAATGAAGTTACTGGTTATAGGACTTACACAGTTAGCAGTTTGTTTTAACACACTTCTGAAGAGTTTTATGAACCTTTTTCTTCATACATGATATAATGTTATTCCTAAAATTTCGGGTATAGAAATCTATGAACGCAGTAAATCACTTTAGCTTCTGCACAAAACTTTTTCTAATATTTTTAATAGCTTACACATGTAAACGAGCAGAATGAGGAACTTTTATAACACCTGCAGAGTTGTTGGAAAAAGCACTAAAACCGTAATTTAGTTAGGACCGTTGAACATACCAAAACGGATTAATTCCTTATCCGGACTCTGTTTGGAGAGCTTCGAATTTGTAGCAGTAAAAACTAAAGTAGAGCAAAGGCTTATTTTATTGAGTATAATCCTATTGAGCCATTTTACCAATCAGAACAATTGGGAGTCCAATTTGATAATAGTGGTTTCCAACCAGTGTTGCATTTAAGGCAGGAAATGACATTTATATACTGCACTTTCCTTAAAAACGTAATTTGGAAGCATTAATTACATTCTCAAGGCTATTTCGAATAAACAAATAAAATAAAATTTAAGCCAAAAATAAAGGTTATAATACTATTATCTTAACGACCAAATTTGTTTTTTCAAGCTATATCATAAGTTTCTGTCGTTTATTTTGCCGGAGCTAAAGAGATAAAATATATTTTAATTTAATTTTTCCACTTATGTGAGAAACAATAAACCAGATAGATTTTACATTTGTCTTATAATATTATTTGTTTCAGGGATGCATTGCGATATGAGGTGCTATATTACTGTAGTCAAGTTTTTAATTTTGTTTATACCCTGAACAGGAGATATTAATTTTGCCACGAAGTGTATAACACTTAGAAGGAAAAGTCGGAGACCCTATAAAGTATATATATAAAGGATCAGCGTGTGGTGCTGAGTTGATTTAGCCATGTCCGTCTGCCTGTTCGTTTGTACATACCCGTCCCTCAGTTCTTAAGATATCGATCTGAAATTGTACACACGTCCTTTTCTCGCTAAGAAGCTGCTTATTTGTCGGAACCGCGTATATCGGACCACTATAGCACATAGCTGGCATACAAACTGAATGATCAAAATCAAGCTGTTGTAAGAAAAAATTTTTGATTTTCCAAGATGACAATTGAAATTAACGGGTTTTCTTGGTTTTTTTTTATGAGCATAATTGGCATCCGGCGGAAATGAAATTTTAGTATTACAGTTATAGTAGATAGGTAATATTAATTTAAATTCAATCAACTTAATGTCAAATCGAAAATTACACATATTTTAAACAAATTTTGCTTTTATATATCGGTTATTGCGAAAGTACCATTCTGCAAGTTTTACCAACAAGCTTAGTAAGTATACTGGTGTATGTTTCAGATAGTAAAAGCTTTCAGGGGTGGCTTAAAGTTTTGTGTATTTATAAGCTGCAGAAAAAATGTTATACAAAATTTCCCTTCAAGTTTCTTGTTATAAGAGACAATTTAAAAACCCAAAGGATGACTAAAGGAATGAATGTTCCTAAAGACAACAAATTTTTACATTGGTTAAATTTCGGAGCAATGGTTTTTACGCGTGCATAAAAGCTTCATCGGTTTGTGTCCTAGATAAATTCGAAATAGAATAGTATGCTAGCTTGAGAATCGTCATAAGATAAGTGCGTACGCCATAAGGGTGGATTGAGTTTATTTATATATGTACACTGCAAAAAATACTGAGTCAGAGTAAATTATGGTAAATTCCCATTGCACTACAAACGCAAGCACTACATAAGATAGCACTGAGCGTTCGTCATAGAATAACCTTAGTTTATTACGCTTTAGACTGTTTACTTAAGCTCTCTTGCAGCATATAAGTAGGCTGAACAAATAAATTACACTGTCCCATATAAGTAATGCAGAACTTGTAATGGTATTCACACTTTGATCGCAATATCTCCTTTTTTGGAACATTTATGCGCCAATTGATTGTTTTTTAGACGTTTTATAATTGCTTTTTAATAATTCACATAATTATACAGATTACACGCTGGGAATCTTTAGCATATTATTTTCGATTTCTGAAATATTAATATCATTAAAATTTGTAACACTTACCTGCAATTCAGATTCGGTGACATCAATTTCGCCACGATAAACAAAATCAATAATGGTCTTCAAGTCCGTGAATATAATATCGCCGGGAAGTATGATGGTGGGATGTTTGCAGGGATTTTCCAAAAGCAGTTTTTGAAAATATGATGAGCAGGCGGATAGAACAACCTATTTAAATAAAAAATGGACGATTAGAGATACTTGAATCATCTAAATATAATAATTATTTGTAATTGTATAAGATTATTATTTTAAAACCTTTAAAATCTATATACTGTATGGATCGAAGCTAAATGTAGTTATTATTTCCGAACATACTGTTGTGGTTAACTGGTGCAGACAATTCAAATTCTATAAAAGTCTTTGATTCAGCCACATTAATATAAAATATTAGATATGCCCAAACTGCTCATTATTTCTTTTAGATTTTTTTCGGTGCTTTTATAATTAAACAGCTTTTTTGTTTTATGGATTTATTTTTCTCTAAATGTAAGTGTATATTTTCAAATTCTTATCGAAATCTGAATTTTTAACATATCATGTCGCTTTCCCCAAATAAGCTGAGGTATGCTGCAGAGTTGACAGACCATGTTCCGATGAAAATATGGATCCATTTCAGTTACATATGTACGAACACCGACCAAAAAATTTCCTTCATTCAAACCAGAAATTTTTTAAATATATAATATCGGTATAATCTACTATAATATAATAATTTAGTCCAGTATAAGTGTAAAAAAAAAACAGTTTTAATTTTAGTATATGCCATAAATATTTCTACCATTTTCTTTAAGCTTACCAAAATTTCGGGATGAAATTTATTTTTGTAATTCAAGTGTATTATTGATAATTTTTTCATACAGTACATAAAAACAACAACCGAATAAATCGTGTAAAAAATAGATGATCTAATTGTATGATTTACATCACTGATTTCCTGTTTCTTCAGAATAAAATTTCGAAATAATATATACCACAAACTCTAACGTTTTTCCAGTAGTCATCAGCAGGTAAATGCTGCGAATTTATCGAATATGTTGTTAAATTTATAAATTTTCATATAAATTACCTTGTGTGCTTTTAGCGAGCCATGCTCACAGGAAAGGGTCACATCCACGAAGGATAAATCTTCGCGCAATTGCTGGAACACCGAAGTCATGGTGTTTTGGTAATTGTTCCAACGCAAACTAAAATACTGGTGACTTCTGGATGCCATTTTGACGTTAGCAATAGTCCCACTTTATCGCTAATCCAGTTTTAAACTTGGATTATACTCTTGGTTCTGCTAAAAAACAAAAAAGAAATATTAATTATTAAACATATGTATATTTATAATAAATAATCTGACCACTAAATAAATCGATAGTTAATAATTTGTATGTGAATTAATCTTCACGTAAATTATCCATTTAAAACAAATTACATATATTCATATCCAACATTAAAAATTGAGCCGGTTGCCAAAAGATTTAGTTGTATGGCAATTAAATCGGCATTAATAAAATACTAAGCTAATTTCAATCTAAAATATGTTTCCATTCCCTCAGTACTTGATTAATTTGTTATTGAAAATTTTAGGACTCAAAATAATAGTTATTGCTGTTGTTTCAGTGATTCCAAACATTGTTTGTAGAAGAATGCAAATTGTCATCGAAATCATCTAACGGGAGGTCAAGGAAACACGCTGTTTAAACGTGGTCTGATCACAGCGAGAAGGGTGTTAGATGGGTTGCTTTCATAGAACAACTCCATCGGCTTTGTGTTGTGGTTTGACGTCAAAGAAAGAGCCGATGAAGTCTAGATCCACTTTGAAAGGTTCAGAAAAACATTACGATAATGATAATTATATACTATATACTATACTAATTTTTCTAGTAAATATGGCAAACGGTTCAAACAATATTGAACTAGAATAATTATTTATAAATAATACCATTTATTGGTAGGTATAATGGTTAAAATGTGGTTTTATTATGTCACTACAAACACAATAAGAATTGCACATTAATAAACCATTGGCGGCAAAAATAATATGGTGAGATATTTAGTTAGAATGTAACACACAAAAAACGCACATAGGTTAGTGTTTTTTTTTAATTCACTTTAAATATATTCTATTGTACATTTACTAATTCTTCAAAACTCTTAATTGATTTTATTTCAAGTGTTTTACTTGTTGGTAGGCAAAAATTTATAAATGAATAGCGTTACAAACTGTTGCGTTAAACTTTCGCATTAAAGGTTCTTAAAATACATAGCATTTTATTTAATAATTTGTTAATATTATTTATGAAGTGGAAAAGTAATGGAAAAGATGTTTAAGCATGGTTTTGAGGTAGATAAGAGTTTTCTCTATATTATGCATTGCTACCACCGCAATAAACACACAAAATTTTAGCTCGTCTTTAGTACCATTAAGCAATTCATGGATTTTATTTTTACATGCAACACTTCTTAATTTCATTGAAAATTTGATGTAAACAATTATCAGGATAGTTGACCACATAAACCAGAAGTATAATAGTGTAAAAGCGCCGAAATATTGTATATATTTATTGCATTGTCTTTAGTAAATTATTGCACATGCTTTGATAAAAATATATATATTTCTACAAAGTGAGGAAGTAAGTATATTAAATAAAAATAACCAAGCCGGTTTCTTGTTATAAACATGGCACGCACTTGCCTTTTGCCGATTCCTGATTTTTATCAATTTCCTCTACTCCCTTTAATTCTGCCCTCGCTGACAAGTAATTAACAATATCTAGACGTATTCTCTGTTCAACTACACTGCCAACTGTTACGTCGCTGCAATCGAGGGTTGTCTTTTTGCATAATTTTCTTTCAAGCCACGGGATGCAGATATTGTTGCGATTCACTTCTTTGCTACTGAATGCAATGCGTCCAAAATTTTTTACTAAAAATAGCTACCACTTTTTAATTGCCAATGTGAAAAACAAATCACCTATTATATTAATATTACCAATTTAGGAGGCAACTCTTTTGTACAAATCGAACCTTTCAGCGCTACTGGCCGAACACAATATCTTTTTAACACAAATGCCTTTGAATGTTTTGCACTTTGTACGAATATGCGTGAAGTCTGGTGGTTTTTTTGCGCAGAAAATATTTGCTTATAATTTTCGCGTCATTATTTGTTCACTTTTTTAACACTTGTTGTTGTTTCTATGTGTTTTCAAGTTTTTAACAGAGTTTTCTAAACTTTTCAGCTTCTTTTTCAACTTTTCAGTCGTGCAACGCAATGCTAGACACGAAGGAATTCGCTGCCAAAGAGGAATTCGGAATAATTAGAAAATGGATTTTTCACGTCGTTCGTTCGCTTGTCGTTCGCCCGCCATTATAGAACTGCCAGATGTAATAAATAGAAATGCATTTATTTGGATACGAAAATACTATAGGACTACATAGTGTATTTACTATTTATGGCGTAAGAATATAAATCTATTTTCCTTTTTATTTATAGATAATATATTTAAATGATATTTGCGCCAAGTTTTGGTTTCTACTTTTTTAATTTATTTCGAACGGATATATGTAATTAAAAAGTAAAGGAGAAATAAAAATGAATTGTCAGCAGGAAGTGAACTTAAATATTTAGCCACTTTAAAACACAACATTTCGGAATAATTCGACACATAAAAACCTCGCAATAAATAACACAATTTATTGTATTTACATGTAAATCCATTACATTTTACAATTAAATACAAAGCAAAAATCTGGCAACTTTTGGCGTCATTCACAGCTTAATTCATCGTCATATCGTAGTCGTTTTCGTATAGTATTCGTTCGTATGTTGTTCGTCTGTTGTCGCCATTTTCAACTTTATTTTGTTCTATAACTATCCCGCTCACCCTTTTTTGCTTTGCACTTAAACACGAAACCTATTGATTTTCACGTTTCTTGTTCCACTTTTACTTCTCGTCTTCTTGTTACTATGTTCATCACACAATATTTTCGATTTTGCGGGCTCTTTTTCTCCCGTAGTTTATTAAAAATTCACAGATTCGTATAATCTCGTTTTCCTCTTCACACGCACACTCTTTTTTTTCTTCACTATTTTTGGACTTTATAATTCTTTATGACTTTGCTGCATTGTTCACCGCTTTCCACATTTGCGTTTTTGTTATTTTTCCATTTTTATTATTGTTATTTTTTCGTATAGATTTACTTCCTATTTCTCGCTTCTTACACCTTCCAATCATTTCCCTTTGAGCAAGCCTAATAACTATTTGTTTTGACACCTAATCGCTATGCTACCTTGCTTCCAAACGTAATACACTGACATCTTTCTACTCCAATTCGTTGGGCAGATAAAAGAAAAAAAAAAACACTGTGCACAGTCAATCAAGCAGGGGGTGTATGCGCGATCCTTAATAAATTAATAAAGGTTCGGTCTTTTTATTTGGTATTTGCAGTAATTTTGTTTATAAAGTCAATAAGCACACGCTTCAGAACGCTTGTTTATACTAGCGTAGACAAAATGTTTGGAGCCGATTTACTGTTCAACTGGAAATGGTTGGGTAGGTTATTAATTTATTTTACACTTCGATGTGGCAATTCTAAATCGTTAACACGGTTGCATATTATGGTAAAATACTCTGAAGTACTCATTAAAATCGCCAGTAATATTAAGGATTTTTCATTTAAAATTTAATAGATTGATCAGATAATGATTATTGAAATATCATTAAGATAACCGCCTCAATTTAAAATAAAGAAACACTGCAAGGAATATAAATTCTAGAAATCCTACCCAGGGACGTCAGTTTTATTGCATACTTTCGAGAGGTTCAGACGAGATTTTGTTGTTGTTAGATTATCAGAAGCAAAATGTCACAAAATAATTTGAGAAATGTAGGCGAGTTGACATTTCTTGGGCGGATATAAATGTGGTCCCTTCCGGTTACATAGAACCAACAGTCGTTGGAACGATTGTGGTCTTCAGACCTATATTCTTCACAATCAAAGCTACTTCTTAATATTTATAAAAATTCTATTGAGAACATTTTGTTGAAATATTAGTATAAATCATCTGAAATAGTCCTTAACACTAGACTTATTGGTATCGGCATACCTATTTTTACTTAAATCCGTCATTTTGACGGGTAAATTAAAATACTAATTTTTGTAAAACTTTTATTTTTCAATTAATGGATTTTTATTCACAGTTGTTTTCAATACATTTTTTACATGTAAACTCTATTTTGCATCCTCCCTTTCCACATATGTATATACATACATATATCTAATGCAAATGTTACTGCCTAGTTTTTCGGGCAATTGGAAGATAAAATTCATGCGAGTAATTTTTACTTCAGTAGTCTTCTTGTACAAGATCCAGGCATTGATGGCTGCCAAATCTAAAATATTATAAAACATGTGAAGCGGCCATCTACAGGATCCTGCTTTCAAGCTATATTTTCATTTGTGTCTACAATATCCACCCCAAACTTTGTTTTATTATAATATGCATTTGTTTATGGGGCACGTTTAGCATCATGTTCTATTTTGACATTTTTGTGTTTTGAACTAAGCAATAATATCTTTTTGTTTGGCTTAGACTTGTAAACTGTAAGAACGTACTCATCTGATTTATAAAGTTTTGTAGAATATCGGATCATGTTATCCTTCGTAGCCTTTGCAATTTTTGGCAATTCTTTTCTGTTTGCTCGTAAAGACCCTACAAGAGTTTTTTTTAAGTAACTTTTTTGCAAGTGAAATGCTCGTAAAAAAGTTATCAGTAGTTATATTTCGGCCATGAACTAAATATGGTTCAGTATGCTTGCGCACAACGAATTCGCCTAAAGCTATGTCTGATGGTCGATAGAAAAGCTCGTAGTTGTACCTCTGTATTCGACCAATCATCTTTTTTCAAAACCTTACGAGCCTCTGTTTCAGTTCAAATGCGCTCCTTATATTCTCAAGCAAAATATTTTTTTTTGCGTACGCTGTTAGATAGATAGATTAATTATGAGGTATGCACCGCGACCTATGGTCTATTGCGCCCTCCCCTAAGTCATATCGTATCATCTAGGCCCAGGATGTTGATAAATTCCAATACTCTGCTGGGTGCTAGTGAGGCGATACAATCCCTGTGAGGAAACATGGATCCCAGGGCCTTGATTCTGCGTCTGCAGACTGCTGTGCAGCTCATCAGTAGATGTTCAGGTGTTTCCGGCTCTATGTCGCAGAACCGGCAGTTTGCAGAAGAGGCTATACCCATGTTGAAGAGGTGCTTCTTAAGCCTGCAGTGGCCGGTGTAGAACGCGACAAGTAGCCGGAATTTGTTCCTCGGGAGATTAATTATGGTCTTGAAACGTACGCTGTTAGTCCTGACACATCCTTGAACATATTACCATCTGCTTTTAGTGTTTCCCGTAAAGTTCCATCCATAGAACGTTCGTTCAAATTTTCTAAATTACAGGTATCACTTCCATCTCATTTTTGCTATCAGAGTCTAAAATGATACGCATACTTTTTCTTTTATAGCAGATATTGCGAAGATTTTCATTTCCACTGTCCTCAGAATCTTCAAATTTAGTAATTGCTTCGTAGAATTCTTCTCGCTATTGCCTAATTCTTTTGTCAGAATCAGAACCAGATTGGTTGTTGTTGTAGCGACCGTTCCGGTTACGTAGACCCGACTGTCGTGAACTAGATTGGTCTTCATTTATGCTGGTTACTGTTTTTTAAATTCCATATGTTTTGGAAACTTGTCAGATAAGTTTGTAATAAACCTTGAAACATTTAAATCTTTACTTATAAAATGAATTTTCACTGAACTTTAAAATTTCACTTTTTTGCAAAATGCACTGCAGTCTAACTAAATTGACGAAAATCTCTGTAAAATGCACCTTTGAAATCAGTATTTTTGATATGACAAAATTTTTAGTACCTGTAATCTTTAATTTATTTTTATCATTTGTTTCATATTTTCATTTTAGTTATTTCGCAAAATTTGAACGTGAACTGCTGATAACAGAGGTTCTTATCCGGGTAAAGTGCACCGTTTTATTCCGTCTAACATAAATTGTACTCTCTGTTAGGTTCATCATTCGCAAAATTATTTATGTTTAGGATGTTTAATTTAAAAGGATCGAACATACTAATTAGCATAATTTATTGCAACTAACACACAAGTAAGGTATACAACATACAACACATATAATGATTATTTAAAATGTTTATTAAGTCTTAACTTCTATATAATCCCTAAACTATTATCTAACTGATGTAAGTAATTTCTTTTCCATTTATTTGCCGAGTAATAATTTTTCTTTCTCCTTCTCTGCATACTTTCGAAACTCTTCTAAAATTTTATTTAAGTTTTGATCCATACGCGCTTTTAGCGCAGCATTACATATATTGATGAATTCTTGAACCTTAAAAGAATTAACAATTACTATATATGGTAACTACAGTACTTACGATATATACTTATATTATAACACAAAGCACATACCGTCAATTCAGCTTCCTTTCGTCCGAGCTTTACGAAACTGCATTGAGGAGCGTGTTTTGCATGCTCCTTCCATGGGTCATCGGTTGGCTCCCAACCATCAAGAGTTTTATTGCAAATATAGCAAGTAACTGTATCTGGTTCGCGATCGTTACCGCTCCAGTAAAAGCCTGCTTCCGCCATCTACATTTGTCAAAACAAAACATGAAGAGGAATGATGAATTTAATTTTGCACCAGCTTTACCTTTTTTGCGCTACATGCACTGCTATCATCAAATGGCCACTTTTTAAAACTGTTTAAGCGGTTTTTTTCCATCATATTTCCAAACCTTGAATAATTCATTTTAATGATTCTATTTCAAACAAAAAAAATTATTATTAATGGCTTATGTTCTTTAGCCGCTGTTTCTGTTTTCAAACTTTCAAACCGCGATCTTTTTGACATTTATGTGCTTCACAAATTTCAGCTTTTTGTAAAGTACTTTGCTGACTTTATACCAAATCTAATAATAACAGTGTGTTCGCACGTTAATAAAAAATATTTGGTCAACTGTATTAATTATTTAAGACTGTTATAATAAACAAAACTTTTTGAACAAAGATACCACAGAGACTAATTTATAATAAACATAGTTAAATACTAAATTATTTCTTTTAAGGATTTTGTATTAGAACACCATAATTCGGATTGTTAAATGAATAACAAATTTTGAAAATTTGTATGTGGTATTTATTTTATTTATAACAATATAAGATAAATTCATAGTTTAGGTCCCTCAACGAAGAAGACCTTTACTACGAGTATTTGAATAAATGAAAATTGTTTGAAATCCAAGCAACCTTTGATTTTTGCCTATTTTTGTTTTGTTTTGAATAAAGCTTACTATTCGAATAGTCGACAACGAACTGTTAACCAGATAGTCGACAACTTATGACTATTCGGTTAGTGCGAAACGAATATTATTATTCGAATAATGCCCCATCCGGTTAGTCGATTAGTCGAATACCAAGAGCTCTGATTTATATATATAAACATAAATTTTTGAAAAAGTTGACTTTTCGCTTACGAAATTCTCATCTTCGCGTCAACATAAGACGATTTAAAATAATTATAATTTTCAAGGCCTCCTTCGTTAAGAGAACTAAGCTATATATTTACCCAAAATAATATTGTCACATTAAGTTTAATTTAATTACTCTACAAATCAAATTTTATACCATCTTTAGTTTAATTTTTGATTAATTATTAGAAACGTGCATATATTGAGGTCGCTAAACAACACTGCGCTTTGAAATGTCATCGCTATTTGTCACAAAACATTAATACATTCTAAAAAATTGTTATTTATTTTTTTTGCTGCAGACATTATTTTGGTAATTTGTTATGGATTCAGACGATTCACAACTGCATCCTAACTGGCTGGCGCTAGCTACAGTTACCTTTCCGCGGAAGCGTTTTGTGCGTGGTCTTGAATTGCGGAGCAATGAAGAAGCTAAAGTTGAGGAAAATAGTGCTCAGCTCGGCGAGAGAAAAGGCGAAGACGTAAGAAAATTTTACGAGGAACTAACAAAACACTCTAAAACAAATGTTCCAGTTACTGCTCCATCCGTATCGAGCAGTTCAATTAAATCAAAGAAACTCTCTTTATTGAATTTCGATAGCAAAAAATTTTTTCGCCTTGCTACAACAAATAACGTGACAGAGTTAGCGCGAATAAATTATCAAGCTGGCGATGTGGATGTGTGCGATGCTTTCGGCTGGACTGCTCTTATGATGGCGGCTTGTGAGGGTGCAATATGCGCTGTGAGATTTCTATTACAGTTGGGCGCTGATAAAAGTATTAAAGAGAAAACTGGTCGCACTGCAAGAGATTTCGCAATAGAAAAAGGTTATGACCACATTGCAACAATTTTACAAACGATCATTGAAGATATTAAAGAACCATCTAGCCAGGAAATGTCTTCTGCAAACGTTTCAGTTGAACATTTCTATTGTACCAGCTGTGAACATACATTCACAAATACAAATCGATTACGACATGAAACGTCAACGGTGCATCAATTTACTACAAAAGCAATCGGTGCACAAAATAAGCTAAACAAATTTAATATATCCAACAAAAATCGTGGTTTGCAATTAATGGTTAAACAAGGCTGGGACAAAGAAAGCGGTTTGGGCCCAATTCAAGCTGGACGATTGTATCCGGTTAAAACAGTGATACGAAAGAAACGCACTGGCCTCGGCACAAAACAGGAGCCGGCGCGTGTAACACATTTCGGCGCGTTCGATAAACAAGCCGTTATGCATAATCGGTCAAGTATCTTGCCAAAAAGTAAAAAACGTTCACGCTGTGACATACGTTCCGAAAAGTTACGCGATTGGAAACGCGAACGACGACTTCGAAAAGAGTTGAGCTAATGTTTCAAGCATTGTACAGACCTATTTTAGATTTATACAATGTTTAAATCTCAGTTTGGATGCAGTTGTCCTCTTAGTCAAATTATTTAGGCGAAATATAAAATTTTACATAAAGTATATTCATATATTCATCAGTTGATCATCAGTGAAAAATGTCTAAAACCGATGAACAAAAAACGGTTGAGATTATAAAATCAACCGAAGAGGTGGCCGATAAGATATTGATGAACAAGCAAGAGTTGGTAGAGCTGGATAAACGCAGACAACAAACACGCGAAGCGATACGTGAGCTCGAAAAGCATGCAGCCAAGAATGAGAAGAAAGTTTGGATAACGGTGGGCAGCATGCTTGTCAAAATGGAACGTGAAAAGGCTTTGAAGCTTTTGAAAAACGGTGATTGCTAAATTTTGCTTTGACAAAGCGTTTACACGTGATTTTAACGGCATTTCATTTAAAATTCCTAGATCAAATGCAAATTGAACGTGAAATTAATATCATCACCTCGGACCAAAAGATTTTGGTGAACAAGCATCGTGATTTGGAGCACTTTTCGCCCTATTTAGGAACACAGCTTAAAGCGCTTGATCGAAAAGAGTTTGCAGCGCTTAAGGCAAATCTGCCGCTTTTGTAGCCAAATAGTCAAGTTAACAGTGATTTAAATACTTTAAGTATATTTAGCGTAACAAAATGATTTTTCTTACACAATTTTGTGTCATAGTTACAGTTATTAATTTTGTACTTATATTTAAAGGGGAAGTTTTAGTTTGTGTTAATAAAATGCAGTTCTATATAAATACTAAAAAATGTTTAGTAATGAGATGAAAACTGAAAATATGCAGCATGCAATCAATTAGAACTTTCGCGCAGCTTTGTCACTGTTAGATATTGCTAAGACTCAACTAATAGACGCCTTACTAGATTTCGCTGGTTCACTATAATCCTGTAAACATTAAAATAACTGTAATTACAGATTATATTTAATATTTTTTCATTTCACAAACCAATTTTGTGTTGTAGAGTTCCCGCTTATGGTTTGTATATTTTGCGATTAAAGCTAGCGCCTCGCTTGGCTCAACATCCATTGTTTCACCCGAAGTCAAATGCAGTTCAACTTTTGGTATAGCGTTCGCTGCCTTGCTTCCAATTACGACAATGATGGGATAACCCATTCTATATCATAAAGTAACACTTATTAATTATTTTACACATATGACAAATACAACGACCCCACCTTTTCGCTTCCAATAGCCTTTTGCCTATTGTAAAATTACTACGATCATCAATTAACACATCTTCTTCATTACAAATGGTACTAAGCGAGCTACAAAACTCATTTTCCACACCATTGGCTAATTTCTCCTCTTTACTACCTTGTTTCGCGCCTATTATGCAAACATCAAATGGTGCCAGAAGTGTTGGCCAACGCAATTCATTCTCCGTTGCAAGCACCTCTACTGCTGCTGCCACCAATCGGCTGACGCCAATACCATAACAGCCCATTACAAGATTTTCGGGTTTGCCATTCTCTTGCAGAAATGTTGCCTTTAGCGGTTTGGAGTATTTATCATTTAATACAAAAGTGTGTCCCACTTCAATGCCAGTTACGCTGCGCAGATGAGTTGAATTGCAACGTTGGCAATGTTTGTCACTATTTGTCTCATTTATAGTTTCCATATTGGCAGCATAGCCACAAGAGTCACAAGCAATAAGTTGATCTTCACCAGTGGCGGCTAGATAATGATACTCGTGTGACACGCTGCCACCCATAATGCCGGTAGCGGCTTCCACTGGAAATTAATATATATTGAATTATACTTTTACAATATTTTAAGTAATTTTTTGTGCACCTTTAACAAATGGCACTTGTAGCTGCTGGAAAAGCGTATCATATGCGGAATTTATTTGGTTATAAGTATGCAAAGCAGTTGTTGCATCACGGTCAAATGTATAGAGATCCTTCATAACAAATTCTTTTGCTCTAATTAGACCGAAGCGTGGTTTTAACTCGTCGCGAAATTTGTGTCCGATTTGAAAGAGTCTAATGGGCAATTGCTTGTAAGAAATCGGCGCAATACTTGCCAACAATGCAGTTACCGCTTCCTCGTGCGTCTAACAAGCATAAAAAACATTTCTTAATAAATAAATTAATTTAAAATTAAACCGATAACATACTGGACTCAGTATAAATTGTTTGCCATGTCGATCTTTTAATAAATAGAATTCGGTTATATCACCGTCTAAGCGACCGGACTTTTTCCACAACGCTGACGGCGTCAGAACAGGCAATGTTATCTGTTGTGCGCCCACACTGCGCATTTGGCGACGCACTAAATCGGCACACTTATCCACCACACGTTGCGCCAGTGGCATTAGCTGGTAGGTACCATTATAAGCTGGCCTAACCAAACCTAATTCGGTTAGTAACTACAAGAAGACTAGTTTTTATTTCTCTCTGTTGAAACTTTTTCTCCTTACCTTTTGACTACGTGAAATGGCCTCGACATTCTTTACAACAGAGCTTTTTGGTATCACCAGAACTGGCCAAAACAATCTTGAGAGTCGCTCCATACCGGTGTTTCTTTAGGTCCCATTGATAACGTACAGCTGATCGCTGAATTCAGCTGCAGCTGGTAAAAACACAGGGTGCTTTAAAATTTGAATGTATAATTGCAAAATAGAAGTAATTAATTTTAATATCGATTCAATTAATTTAATTAAATGTGTTTTTACAAAAAATGTAATAGTTATTAAGTATAGTATACTAAGTATAGTCAAAATGCAAAGCAGTCTTCATAATCTTCAAAACTTTAAGCATATAAATTCTCATTATGCTGCAATGAAATTATACCAATTAATAATACGCTCTTTTAATTGTACTCATTTAGACCTAAGTTAGTATTATTTGTTGTTCGCTCATTTCATAAGTTAAGTTTATAAAAATTTATTTATATGCAATAAAAAGATTTTGTTGAATTATTAGATGGTTCTTTACACTGGCAACCACAAGCAAACAGCTGTTGTTTGTTTATTTTTTTTTTACAATTGCTACGCTGAATCAGATAATGTTGATGAGAATTTTTTTATTTGAAAAGGCTTTTCATAATTATAAATTTTGTCATATAATTCATAGAAATTAAAAACACAAATCTTAATAGACGCATCGATAATTCATTTAAGAACATTCCTTATGTCTATTTATAGCCTTTTTCCCGTTTCGTCCATTGCCTGGTGTATTTCTCTTTTTCGAAGTTATATTTTTGTTTCCTCATGTAAAACTCAAATGATTTCATTTAACATTTGCGCCTTCTCTTTTCATTAACATTCTCTGCTTAAGCCAAGCAAAATAGGCATGGTGAATTACTAAAAAGTGCCTAGTCGGTTGGATACTAAAACCGATTCAAAAACTCAATATTCAACAATTACACACCCACATATATAGAAGTCTACGCTTACTGCTAACGAACACTTCGCCTTTAACTCTCATACATATATGTATATATACATAAATACCTGTGTTACCGAATCCCACCAACTTACCTGCGCTCAACGAATTGTTACTTCGTAGCTGTTTGCTATTTGCAAATACCTCCTCGCTACTTTGATGTGGAGGCTGGGGGCGGTGACTAGTCGTACATGGAGTGGCGCTCGTTTGATTCATATGTGAATTGGCGAGCAGCGAGGTGAATTCGTTTCTTCAGTTACAATCGAAGTGAGCGCGTTTGCGGTTGTAAACGCAGTGGTCTGGTCAACGTCGTTGTCGTTGTCATCGTCATCAATTTGACTATCTCGCACTCGTTATTATTGTGCAATTTGGTAATTCGTTTTATTTTAATCGTACACTTGCGCGTCCGAGTTCCTGTTAATTGTGCATTATAAGTGTTACAGTGTTATTTACTTTAATTATTCAATAAATGTGCAGTGAGTCTTTGCATGCGAGCATTTGTTGAGCACATGGAACCTTTTTAAGTGGTTACAAAACAAAAATAAAGAAAAAAGACGACGCCAAAGATTTTCATTAACGCGCACTTCTCGTTAACGCGCAAAGCTTCGTGTGTGAAGGAGGTGGAAATAACGCCACAAAACGTTTAATATTTTTTTGTGATTTTTTTTAAAGAAAAGTGCGTGAATTCGACAGACGTGCCGAAAACTGCCCTTAAAGTTGGAGTTGTAAAAGTTGAAAGAAGAAAATTGTGTGTGCTTGCTGGCGGACACAATAGCGCAGTGATATGAATGGTAAGGTGTTTGGTGGGTGAAAGGTGGTGGAGACAACAACACAACCGTTGTCGATAGAAGCAATAGCAACGTGCTCTTGCACTGGCGAATAAATATTCTCAATTGTGGTGTGGGGTATTTTCCAAATTCGCTCATTTCATGCTGATTATTTGCATGTGGTGAATTTGTGTTTTTGAATTTAGTCAATGCAACAACAATACACACACTACTAGCTCGTCAACAAAACAAGAATATTAACTGATTGCTCTGAAGCTGAAACTGCATGGGGCGGTGGGAGCGGCTGGTAAGTCAAGTCGAGTCAAGTCAAGCCAGTGAAAGAGCGCGAGTATCTTATCGTGTCCGTTGCGTTGTTAATACCGGCTCATGAGTGTCGCTGCGTATTTTTTTCGTTTCTGCTTTAGTGCATTGGAATGCTTTAGCAAATGACAAGATACTTTTGCAACAACAACAAGTGATAATCACACGGTCGACTAAAAATTAGTACGAGTAGGTAACAAAAACAAATTAACGAATTAGAAAAGTCGTCCTGTTGCAGTTAAATCCTAGGGTAAAGCTAAATTTAATGAAAATATTAAAGAAAGCAAGAATTATAGTGGTGTATTAACAAAATTGTTTGCCTTTTGTGTAATGAAGTGAGAATTTGAAATTTTATTGTGTTAAGCTGTTTGCTTGAGAGAATCTACAAAAAAATTTTAATTTAAAACAAAAGCATTAAGATGAATTAAAATTCTTACTCAATTAAAATTAATTTATTGAAGCTAAATACAATACTGTGTTGAAGTCTAATAAATTGCGGAACTATTCGGAACTACAATATATTACGGGGTTAAAGCGGCGTAATTTTTGAAGGTAAGTTGAATTCTTATTTTTTTTTTATCAAATGCAATACGTTAAAGCGTTCCGGATTCAAATGTGTGTTGTTGTTGTTAATTTAGCGTCTGTGTTTCAAACGTTAAACAACATATTTAACTTGTTGGCCCGAAAACCTGCTATTTTTTTCTAAAAATTTTTTCTCGGAATGTATTATAGGTAAAAATATGAAATTTTTTGCAAAGTTGTCGGAAAAAGTTTTTTGAATCTTTACAACGTTTTTTATTGATTCAAGTAAAGGGGGGAAGGGGGTACCAAACAATGGCGGCAGGCCGGCTACTCTTCGTCATATTTTTGGCTATTCTCGAACAACGAATGCATGAACTCCTGCTCACCGCTCCACCAAACGGCCGATAACTTTCGTAATTTACTACATTTCAACGAAATTTTGAGAACGAATCTTTGAAACATGTATGTTTCTATCTCAAATTACAAAAAAAAAAAATCGATTTTTTTTATCTCACAAGTTAGAGTTAGAAACCCTCTTAAGCTCGATTTTAGTTTTGCTGCGAATGAACTTTATTACGGCAATGGCTGTCAGATATCTCCGTGTATGCATTGATGCTTAAAAAATTTCGCTTATGGTCAGAAAAATCTCGTAAATTCGAGTTACCATCCGGCAACGGAGGCTTCCCTATTGACAATTCTCGTCAGTGACCTAATTCAAATTGAAGACGTATAGCATGGAACAATCAATTTAAGTTTTAAAACAAGAAAAATATTTCCCTTCGAAGATTTTTTCGGAAAAAAAGAACGTGTGCAGAATTTCAGATCGATATTTCAAATTCTCTCCCTATTAACTGGGGGACTAGTACGACATACGAATGGAAAGACAGACAACTGACACTGACTCTCTCTAAGAAGTAGACTACCTATAAATATTATATGACTTGATTTTATAATTGATATTACCATGATTTTGTAAGGAAGAAATGTCTAGTGCGTTATCGTGAACTAGGCTAAAATTACTTAAGCCAAAAAAAAATTATAAAAGAAGAAGAGAAGCGCTTTTATTGCATGTTATAACATATATAAACACAACTGTACATACATATTTCTCGATTAGAAAAACTTCTAAGTCATAAATACCGAAGAAGAAACGCATATGTTTCGAAATCTTGTTCACACACAACATCTTCAATAAAAATCCACTATGCCCCCAAATTCGTTTCAACATTTTTTCGTAAGCAACAACATTATTTACGCTTACAAAGTAAGATAATGGCTACCAAGCCAATATCAGGACATTTCTACAAGGGCTTAAATGCTATTTTATTTAAACTGCAAGTGGCTTATCTATGTTTATATGTTGCTACGCATCCACATACGGGAAATCCAAAGTCCATTTTTATGCACTCGTTTGTTATAAATCTCCTTCATGCTACTTGCACCTTTCTAGGCGTTTGCAGCTAGCGCTCAGCAGCCTCCACAACATCTCCTCTTCACTCTTGGCTTCACTACCAAAAGTAGCACCATCACTATCATCATCATCATCACTGTCGTCATTTTATTGTCAATTGGCTATATTTTCATATTATGTGTTCTGCGCATGCGTGTCTGCAGCTTCAACCTCACTCGCCCTCTCAGCGCTGTGCTAAGTGCTCAAGTAGCTGTTTGCGGCAGCTAACGCCAACCAGACCACTTGTTGTCAACTTTATTACTCTTATTATTATTTTTTAGTTTGTTTTATTTGTTGTTGCTTTATTGCTAACGCTGCTGCCATTAAACTGATTTTTATTTCGTTTTTCAGTTAAACGAGTACGAGTACGAGGCGTAATGACATTTCTGTATTGTCATTGTTGTTGCTAGTGATCGCTGTGACGACTATATACTACCTATGTTTGTTGTTGTTAAGTTTTTTCTTCTTATTAGTTGTTTTTAGTTTACCAGTAAGTGGTTGTTGTGTGCTGATTTAACAATTTTATGCACGTTTAAGCCAGTTTCTAAATCACTTGTGCGCATCTAGGCTGGTGCGGCAGGTGAATTGGTGCGCCAACAACCAAGTATGCAGCAGCTTTTATATAGTTATTTATATATTGTAGATATCTGTATGTACAAGTATGTTGCCTTATAATAGCACTTCCAGTTTTTTGTGACATAAATCGAAATATGAAGCACTTAATATTCATGGGTTTGGTCTCGAAGCATAAAGAGCGCGAGTTCTAGGGCAGAAATACCGTTACTTTTCTTCATGAGTGTCTTCTAGAGTGTCTTCTAAGTTTAGGGTTTAACAATAACGTGTGTTTCTGAATAGATAGAAGTCGGATCCTTAAGTCGGTCAAAGAGCTACCATTCGTTTTTATTTTCCAAATTGTTGCGATTCTATAGCGCTTTCTTAAAATTAGGTTCTATGTGTCTCATGAAGTCCATTTCTGCGTCTGTCTTTTCGTCCACTTAATTACTAAAGGGTGTCTTTATTAGACATGTGATTTTCAAGAAGAAATAAACGCATAAAATTTTATGTTATTGCCAAGAATTTAGCTTTATTGTAAAGATAAGGATTTGCCATTATGTTTTAAAAATGATTTCGGAAAAGTGACCGCCGCGGCTGGCTCGAATAAATTTCAGACGAGAGCTCTAATTTTCGACTACTTTTTGCGGCAATTGTGGCCGTATGTCAGCAATAACGCGCCGAATATTCTCTTCCAAGGTGTCAGTCATCTCGGGCTTATCTGCGTAGACAAGCGACTTCACATAACCCCACAAAAAATAGTCCAGCGCTGTTAAATCGCACGATCTTAGCGGTCACAGCACATTCTCATGACGCGACATAATGCGCTTACAAAAAAATTCCTTCAATAAATTGATTATTTCGTTGGCTGTATGGCATGTTGCGTCATCTTGTGGAAGCAAAGGTCGTCCACATCAACATCCTCCAATTCAGGTACGAAAAACTCAATAACGGCTTTATAGTGTTCCCCATTGACTGTAACATTTTGACCAGCTTCATTTATGAAGAAATATGCGCCAATGGTTCCCTTTACACCATTTATTGGATTATCATTACTCCAAATGCGACAAATTTCTTTGTTAACGTACCCATTCAACACAAAGTGAGTTTCATCGCTGAACAAACTATTCTTGTGAAAAGAGGGATCGGTGAACATTTCGTTTTGGGCGCATTCATCAAAAGTGCGACCCGCTTAATGGTCCTTCGGCTTCAATTCCTGCACGAGTTGGATTTTGTAAGCTCGCAAACCAAGATCCTTTCGCAAAATCTTCCATAAAGTGGGAAGCTCTAATTGTTGCGCGCGATGGCGAATGGACTCATTCTGCATAGACAGATGGCAGATTCATTATAAATATGAGACTTAAGCATTTCTCTGTATTTAGAATATGAAAAATAGCAGTTTCTTCAAAGTATTTATCGGAGTAACAAAATTCCCAGTTAAATGCTTATTTGAGAAGATAAATCTAAGGGTTCTAAGGTTTTTTTGTTCGGAAGGTTTACTTCAATGAAATGCCTTTCGCTTACGCCGCATTCTGTTAACTTCTTATGGTATATACCTATGGTGTTTCTTTTAGATATATATATATTAGTACTGGGTTCTTGACATAACAACTCTCCCGGTCGAGGCTGAGTACTTAAGTTTTGTAGTGATAGTTAAATTTTTGGACTGTTTAATCGAATATATATACCATGCCTTCTTAAGTATAGTGACTTTAGAAAATAATGGTCCATACATTTTTGCAGTACGATCTAGCCCGCCAGGAAGATCATTTACAAACTCGATTTGGATATAACAGACTGGAGTAAATATTGGGATGTTCCAGTGCTCACAAGTCCACTTTACGGAGTAATAAAAGCTTGACAAAGCTAAATTGTTCCGAATTGATTGATCAGGTTGGATTAGTGTTAACAAGTGAGTTTTATATGCTCATAGATATAGATCATATTTGTTTGTGGGACTGTATTCTTCCAAGGATTGCTTCGCTTTTATGAAAACTCTCCAGACCAGAATGCTCGGAATTTTTTTTATAGAAAGTGTAAGGGCTTCCAGAAATTGGACATTTGAACCTTATTTTCATTTGTTATGTGTATGTTCTATGTGTTGGTTTGCCTCTTAAGTGTTCCATTTCAAATGCAGACTGCTTCCGGAAACCAGGCGTCGTGACCAACTTTTTATGTGGAGTATTTTAATAATTATTGATTGTATAATCAGCATAACCCTGCGAAGAAGGCAAATATGTGGATTATTTTTATACAAACATATGTTGTATATGTTACAATAGGTATGGATGAAGGCGTGTCTCTCAAATATGTGTTCAAAAATTTTGTTTCAGACGTTTTACCATATTTACAAATATTTGTTTTAATTCAAACGTTATATAAGTATGTATGTTTGATATGTGTATACAAGTATGTCTGCGAGCTTACCTCCGCTGTTAAGCCCACATTTGTGCAAAGAATGAACATGCCACACGTCGATGATCGCGCAGTGTTGACGTCACAAAAAAAATACACAAAAAAAAAATTAAATTGTTAAAATTAAATAAAAAATTGGATTTTATAAACAAGTAAACAAAAGTGTTTATTAATAGAAATAGAGAAATAAACAAAACTAAAAAGAGAATATTAAATTAAAACTAAGTTTTAATATCAACACTTTATTACACTTTTAAGTGCTCAGCTACTAAGCTATGTTACTAGAGATACATACAAATACTATTTGTATTCGAAATGAAAACCTCGCTCTTTTATAGAACTTCATTGCAGAAGTTGAGGCAAAAGAGAATTTCTCATTCCGTATGCAACAACAAGTCAGATAGTGACCTTGATATAGGTGCTTCATCATACGAAGGTCTCGAATAGTTGGTTGGTTTTCACTATTAAGCCAAGATATGCGTGAAAATAAGCTAATTTTTATACTCTCACGATATGTTGCTACACGGTATAATAGTTTTGTTCACCTAACGGTTGTTTCTATCACATAAAACTAATCGAGTTAGATATAGGGTTATGTATATATAAATGATCA